TCTAATATTTCGATACTTTATCGAGGACAGATGCAGTAGAGGTGAGACGTACAGAAAACAGTTGTTGGAATAGGTTTTTAGCTGGATGCGTCAATACCTAGCTTTTTATAGGAGAGGTGGCAAACGAGCATACGGCTCATGCCCATGAACAATAGAAAGGAGTAAGCTCTTTTCTTGAAGGTCCCTAAGTCGTATAGATCCGGAAAAATCGGCGGTGGTAAACTATTCCACAGAGATGGTGGACCGCCAAGCACCCAGATGGTGTGAATGGTATTGGGAGTTTTACCGCGATGTGCGTTCGTGAAATTTGGCGGCTAGGATTAAACCGAACAATTCCTCAGAGCTCTCCCCGTGGTAGTCGCGAAAGAAACTGCAAAGGGATGCAACATCCCTTCTCATTTGTCCTCGTCTTCCAAGTGACCACGAACCGACGCCGAGGATTCCGATACTGGCTGAGGCAACAAAGGGAGTGCCTTGAAAATGAGGAGATACGACAAAGGGCTTCTTTTTAGCGGTAAACGAGCAAACTTGTGTCTTCTGAGGATTAAACTGGACTAGATTTAGTCACCGCCTTAGTCTTTGTTCAACAAAGATTCGACTTCAGACACAAGTTTGTTCCGCTACTCGGCGAGGTTTTCGCGAGAAATATTGGCACGGCCGGTGTATAAAGCTTCACCAGTGCTGTCATCCGTATAGTAATGAATGTTACCGATTTGCATAATATCATTGATATGCAGAAGAAACAGGGTTGGTGATAGCACGCAGCCTTATGGAACACCAGTATTAATAGGCTTGTAATATGTCTATAACGCCCTTATTGCTCCGATCTGCAAGAAAGCTGGTAATCCAATTGCATAAATCTCGGGAAGCCCATAGGAAGGGAAAAACTTATGTACATAACTCTGCACTAATTTGCGTCTCGTTTTGAGGGTACAGCATCCGTCTTAGCTCGGACAACGTAGATTATGGGACGACGTTAGACGTTCGGTTCGGCTTGCTGTCGGTGTAAGAGTATCCACAACCCTATATCGTCCATCGTCCCGTGGGTATTACCCGCCTACGGGTTTTATATATTATTAGTTCTGTGCCCGAGGGTGTCATAATAGGCGACAGAGGGAAACATCAGCTTGGCAACTATGGCAAATATCTCCCCTGAGGCAATCTATGGGGGACGCCTATGTTCAGCAGTACTAAAATAAGCTGTAACTACTTTTTCTATGTTAAAACAAATTAACAGTTATTTTTATATAGTAATTTTTGCAATAAGTATTTATGTAATAATACTTATTAATTAATCAATCGTTATTAAAAGCCCACTAAACACAATTTACATTTAAGCTACGGTCGGTTTTATCTCACGAAGGCGGACGAGCCTTATATTTTGTAATATGCAGAAACACTGGTGCTTGTGTGCGTTACTGCAAGTAGTGTTAGCCAGCTCATGGTAATCAAACAAAATAATATAAGATGTTTTTAACTCTCGAACTTACGTAGACTATAACAATTTGTAGGTGCATTTAGAAGTAATATCAATCCACCATCGTGATATTAAATACATAGACGCGGAGCAATGAGCAATCCGTGTGTAGCGTTCGCTTGTAGATTTGTGCCGATCAGGTAAACAAAATTTTATTTTTGAGGATGATTTTGAATTTTTTTTATAGGATAGTGTGACAAACGAGTACACAGTCCACCTGATGGTAAGTGGTTACTGTGGCCCATAGACATCTACATTTATCCTCGTTTGTGAATCAAAATGCAGATGCGTTGTCATCCGTGAGGACTAAGATGGAATGCCTCTTTTCCAGTAAAAAGGGTCTCCGGTTCTCTACACTCACCATACGAAACACAGCAGCATTAAGCTGCTATGTTACGCTGGTATTCTGTGAGAGCGTGGTCCTTCCCCGGTCGAGCCGACCCATTCGTGCTACAACTATACTACTAATGTAGCTGCAGCATGGCTCTACCACGTGTGAAAATTTTAAACACTAGGATACTCGAATTTAATGAACTACTCGAGTAGGTACTCGACTTAGTAGTCGAATATTAAATTTGAGACAGTCATTCGAATACTGATACGATCTTTTATAAATACAAAAGTACTCGAATATTTTATTCCATATAAGCATACCGATTACCAACCTTGGAAGGTTAACGACCAGTAGCGTATCGATAACATTTCTAAGGTATTTAAATATTTCTTTTTTATTGCAATTTAAACAATATATAATATTATTTTATACATTGGGTCTTTTATCAAAGTGATAAAATGATGTTCTTTTGACACGCTGTGTCATAATTTTGAACACTTTCAGGATAGTATGTTTAATCAATCAGGTACCAAAAATCTCATTTTGTGAATTCACAAAAGATTTTTAGTCCTATCAGAGCAAAATGAATGTATGCTTGGATTAGAAATTAATTTCGTTTATTAACACCAACTAAATGATAGTACTCATCCTTCTCCGTGATCATGGCGACTAACGCCGGTGTTCCTCAGGGGTCCGTTATCTCCGCAACTCTCTTCCTGCTGCATATAAATGATCTGCTCATTCCCGGTGTCTATGGGTATGCAGACTGACAGCACAGTTGTGGAGAGATACCAACCAAGCGCCCGGGCCAGTCGGGATCAAATCCAGTCAGAAAGAGAGGCTATGGTTGAGCGTGTGAGTCTCACACTACAGGCAGTCTCCGAATGGGGCGATGCCAATCTCGCCTTTTAACGCCTCCACAACACAAGCGTGTCTTTTTACCGCTAAAAGGAGCCCGCTCACCTTGGCTCCAACTTTCCGGAATGTATCCTTGGAGTACACCGACCGCCTTCAGTTGCTAACAACTCCCTAAGGATTGAATTTTCTCCGAACCTAAACTATGGGCGGTTCATTGAGTCCAGAGCCAAAGCAGCCGCAAGGAAACTTGGTGTCCTTGCGAGGGTGCGGCGGTATTTCACGCCGGGGCAGCTTCTTACCTTATATAAAGCGCAAGTCCGGTCGTGCATGGAGTACTGCTGTCACATATGGGCTGGTGTTGCAAAATGCCACCTGGCAGCATTGGACTCAGTGGAGAGACGTGATAAGAGGCTCATTGGTGACCTTGATTTGGTTGAAACCAATTTTGTCAGCCTCGAGCACAGGCGCAGAGTAGCCAGTCTCTCGGTATTCTATAGGATGCATTTCGGCGAGTGTGCGCAGGAATTACACGCCTTAATTCCTCCCTCTCCTTTCCACCATCGGACAACCAGGAGTTCGGCGGGTCTTCATCCCTTTGTTGTCCACGCATTAGAACCAAACGGTTTGCTTCGTCTTTTGTAATGCGTACAGCAAAGGAGTGGAATAATTGGCCGGCGTCTATCTTTCCGTCCGAATACAATCTGAGCGTCTTCAAGGCAAGAGTGAATAGGCTTTTGTTACAATAAGACAGTGCGATTTACCATCTAAGGCTGTATCACCACTTACCACCAGGTGGGATTGTGGTCAAGCACTGGCTTATAAAAAGTTAAAAAAAATCATGTTTAGACTTTTCAAAGGGTCGGTATTTCACGCCTGCAATATGTTATTACATAGCGTATGCGTGCGCGTCAATTATAGCAAATTCGAATTAAAAGAGGCCTATGCAAAATAATAGACAGCTATAGACTCATACTCACGCTCTCTTGAAGAACTACAGACCGATTTCCCTTCTGAGCCGCGTCTACGTGCTGTTTTCGAGTCATTACGAATCGTCTCGCGCGCAGACTTGACGACTTCCAGCCTCCCGAACAAGCCGGTTTCCGAAAGGGCTTTAGCACCATAGACCACATACATACCCTTCGGCAAGTTGTACAGAAGTCCGAAGAGTACAATTTGCCACTATGTCTGGCGTATGTGGACTATGAGAAAGCCTTTGATTCCGTCGAAATTTGGGCGGTGCTGCAGTCCCTTCAGCGGTGCCAAGTTGACTGTCGGTATATCGAAGTGTTGAAGTGCTTGTACAGTAGGGCTACGATGGCTATCCGAGTACAGAACCAGAGTACGAAACCTATCCAATTGCAGAGAGGTGTAAGACAGGGTGACGTCATATCCCCGAAACTCTTCACCGCTGCATTGGAAGACGTTTTCAAGCTTCTGGACTGGAAAGGATACGGTATCAACATCAATGGCGAGTACATCACTCACCTTCGATTTGCCGACGATATAGTCCTTATGGCAGAATCGCTGGAGGACCTAAGCACTATGCTCAATGACCTCAATAGTGTTTCCCAACGGATAGGTCTTAAGATGAACATGGACAAAACAAAGATCATGTTTAATGTCCATGTCACACCTATGCCGGTAGTTGTTGGGAGCACTAAGCTCGAAGTTGTTGACGAGTATGTTTACCTGGGACAAATAGTCCGACTAGGTAAGTCCAACTTCGACCGAGAGTTCAATCGACGGATTCAACTCGGCTGGGCAGCGTTCGGGAAGCTACGACACATCTTCTCGTCAGACATACCTCAAAACCTTAAAACGAAATTGTACAACCAGTGCGTGTTGCCAGTGATGACTTACGGAACTGAGACGTGGTCCTTCACTGCTGGCCGTATGAGGAAGCTCAAGGTCGCTCAGCGAGCTATGGAGAGGGCTATGCTCGGAGTTTCTCTGCGTGATAAACTTAGGAATGAGGATATCCGCAGTAGAACCAGAGTGACCGACATAGCCCAACGGATTAGTAAGCTGAAGTGGCAGTGGGCCGGCCATATAGCTCGAAGAACCGACAACCGATGGGGAAGAAAGGTTCTCGAGTGGCAGCCTCGTACCGGTAGGCGAAGTGTAGGGCGTCCCCCCACGAGATGGAGTGACGACCTGGTAAGACATGCAGGAAGTCGATGGATGCAGGTGGCTCAGGACCGTGCTTTGTGGCATTCTTTGGGGGAGGCCTATGTTCAGCAGTGGACTTGTGAAGGGCTGTAATGATGATGATGATGATGATAGACTCATAAGGAAGGGATGGGTGATTATAGTAAAACTGCTGCTATTCTTATAATCCGAATTATTTATACGATTAAAATATATAACAGTATCATATCACTCCAGACATTTGTGGTCTTGAAAATAGTTAGTATGCGATGAGTAATATTTACTTTTTATATAATATACAAAAAGCTATGAAACAGTTGCTAATTATTGAACACTAATAATTATGTGGGTATATATGCACTAATATTAACCTTTACAAAATTTACATACAATCCATATTAATAACATTAGACTTACAATAAAAATACCTAACAACTAACATCTCTCAATTGTAAAAAATAATAATGGAATCACTCAAAAAGTATTTTTTTTTATTTAGTTCAACGGTACCTAACATTAGAATTTTAGGTTAAAAATATAAACATCCTTTAAATTTAAATCTTAAAAATAGATTTCTTTTATTACTTAGATATTCAGTTTTTTCATTTCGCGAAGAGATCACTTGCGTTCTTGATACGATAACGCTTATAATATTATTATCGTTTAAATTAACTAATTTTAAGCTTCTGCCATACTTCGTTCATTTCTTTCCAACAGACGTTCGTAACAGCCCAACTTTGCAAATATGACACAAACATTTTATATTTTGACAACAGTAAATTCCAACAGAAAACTGAATATAAATATATGAGCATAATACACAAAGAAGTAAAATAATATAGTGTCACTATGAATACAGGCAGTGTAAACAATTTATATAACATTAAAAAGGGGTTTTCCTTAATATTTTCTATAAGAATGGAAGGCAGCAAAAAAGTGATAAAAGAAATTTCTTAGAAAGAAAAACTAAAAATTTTGATAAAAGAATTTGAAATGTATGTACGACATCATAATTGTTTGTTCGGATAAGTCCCTCACAACTCTTTAATCTATTATTAATTCCCTAAAATTATACAAGAAATAAAGTTATCACTTTTTGCTGCACTTGCTAAAGATACTTTTATTATATCAAAGGATTGGATGCTTAAGATATAAGAAATTGATTAAAGAATGTACAAATAATACCTGGTATTGTAACCAAACTGTTTTTAAATAACTTAAAATGATTAAATTTAAAATTTTGACATATTTAATGTGATGTATTATAAGCGGTAATAGAAAAAGTTAGTCATTGTTCATTCTTTGAATGTTTTTTAAGAAATATTACATATAGCAGCATTAACTAGAGAGCTACTGGTAGTAACTGAATAACAAAAACGAACCTCTTATATATCAGTCAATACGGGAAAATATTAATAATTCTAATTATAGTCTAATTATATCTTATAGTCAACAACATGAGTTTAGTTTTAAAAGATATAGTTCTTGGAATAACGTCAAATATCACAAGAATAACATAATTTTAAATAAGAGAAAATACAAGAATACTCTAATACGGACGATGGTCAAAAAGGCATTTATTGAGAGTGAAATATTGTCTAATTTTGTTTGATGTATGTTTGCATAATGTAACGTACGATTCATACTTAAAATGGCGCCGTTGAGCACAGATAAAACTCGAATTGTATTTTAAAATATTTTCTAAGTCAACGTTTATTTTAAATCATTTTATAATTTCGCACACCACTTTCAGGTACGACTTGTTTTGAAAGCTATTTTTCAAACAAATATAAATTATTTCTTTGAAAAATGTCAATTCATTTATAATTTATGAGGCGGATATTTTTTTTTATTATTCGGAATATCCGGGAACGTTTTAGGGTAGAAAGAACACTAATGTGTCAACGCGTGATGTTAAAACGTGTGCGATAATCCGATATGATTATATTTTAAATATTTAATAATATACAGACAACACATATAAACTAATTTAAATTTTTTCACAATTACCAATAATAACCAACTATACTTTCCATGACCAAAAGGATTAAGTAAATTTTTTCACAGTAATAAAATGTAGCCAATAAGTTTTTGTTATTTGTTATTGTTCTAATAATGTATCCAATCACAAAATAGTAGGATTATTTAAAAAAAATATAACAGACTTCAATTTCCATTACATCTAGGCAAGAGGACCACTGCGAAACTACACTCTTTAAACAGATGGGTTAATAAGTTTAAATATTTTGTTACATAATATATTAAAATTGGCAACCAACTTTTTTGAAGTCGGTCAAAAGTACCTGTAAGTTTTAAACAACGTGTAGTGTTTACAAAATAAGAGAGGATATTATAGTAAACCGATCCTTGGTGTGTGTGAGGTATAAGACAATGCACTTGACTTCACCGTAGTGCTTGCGGGCGCCGGCTCTGGAAGCACTCGTCGCACACGCGCACCGGCTTCAGCTGCCCGTAGCGGGGTAGCGGGATCGAATTCGAACTGCACGACGCACAGAACACTTTACCTGGTGAACAACATTTAAAATAAATATACAATTCCGTTTGTAACGGATATCTCAAAATAGACCTCTCACACTGCTACTTAATGGCGATTTAAGGGAACTAAATGCGAATATTATCATCATCATTATCATTATTACAGCGCCTCAAAAGTCCATGCGATAGCCTACATAAAATTATTTAACACAAAATATTTTTTTTTTATATAAACTTCTTAGTTAAATGCACGACGCACTTGAAATTAGTGGGCAATTAGAAACGAAACGTCAGTTACACAGTTATATGTTATATTATCAAGTGTACATTACCACAGCCTAAGAAGAACATACAGTTGGTCCTCGCGTTTGATGTTGTCGGAAAAGCCGACATAAACAATAAATTGCTAGGGTTGTCAGAACGGGAAGTAATAAAAAAATTAAAAAGTGATTTAATTTTATTTCACGTTTAAACAAATTAATGTGTATGTGGAAAATGATGAAACTAATTCCTTGTCTTTAAATGAGGACGACCCACAGTTTGTTTATCGCACATGTAGTGTGCCATTTTAATTTATTTGCGTGAAAGGACAACCCTAGCGGATTGTCATCAGCCCGCGTCTCGGACCGCAAGGCACCGTACGATTGCCCCGTCTAGACGCCTTCGATAACCGACTGTTAGACTGTGACACTATTATACGATTAAATTGAAAATTTTATTTATAAGTTGTTCTTACTTATTTAAAAAAAATCGGCGTATTCAAAAATTAAACGGGTCTAAAAGTTGAAGTAAAGCGTCATAATGTTATCATATTCAGTATGATAGCATTATGTACTCTCTATCATTTCAGAGTTTGTATTTACTGACATAGTCCTCCTTATCTTTACTGTCCCTGGTTGGTATGTGTTATTGTTTTAAGACCATACATATTATGTCCTACTATTGGGCACAGGCTTCTCATTTCAGAGAGCTTTAGAGCGGGGAAGTATCTGCCATGCTGTCTCAATGTTTTAGGGAATGCTTTTGTGTAAAAAATAATTTTAAATATTTCAGATATGCAGTTTTCCGTACAATGTTATCGAAAATCAGAAAAGATGATCATATTCACTATAGCCACGTATATAAAATGTCGTGTATCTTCGTCAGAGTCGAGACACTAACCGCAATTTCTACAGTGGTGCCGACGTCGGAACGCCGTGAAGTGAGCGGAGCATCTCATACAAGATGGCGCCGCTATGTCGGGCACCCATTCCGGCGCTCGCTCTATACACGGCGAAGCGGAATGATTCTCCTCGCGTCTGTAAATAAAACGTTTATAATTTTAGCAGATGTATTGAACGACCAAGCCAAACAACCGAAAGAGACAACTGCAGCTTGGATCTTTGAAAACTTGACGCAATAATCGTAATAATCTCATATTTCCCTGATTCCTCCTCCAAAATTGTACATTTTATTTTTTTACTTTTTACTGGATTAGTTCATTGATGTTATAATATTATTAAATAGTAATCGCTTATTATAGTACATACAAGGCGGCAGAGGGGAACAAATCAAGAGCTGGGCAACAGTGTCTTCCTAATTACAACCATAAAATTGAAAAATTGCTAACCCATTCTCCAAGCGTGGCAAATATGCCAAATATCACCCCAATGAGGCAATCTATGGGGAAACTTGTGTTCAGTAGTAAACTTTTGTAAGCTATATACTATTAGGTAGTGAAAGCAATATAAATGCTTGTACTACTTTTTTTTAATAATAAAAGAAAAAGAAACTTACGTATAAGTCAGGTCGCCAGTAGAAACCGAAGCCTGAAGATTGACAGTGTTGTCCACAGATTTCCTCCTCACGTCACTGTCGGCGGACTGCTCAGCGGTTAGTGTGCTAGAGTTGACCGTGTTGCGACGTACGATACGAGAGTTCGATTCCGATGGGGATGAGTCCGATGTGCTATCGGCATAGACCTCCTCCGCCGAGTATACGCTGTCGAATGAACTGCCTGGAATGAGCGGAAATACTTTTTATTATAGTCTGACCAAAAAATTAAATTTAAATCGCTGCAATTGGAGACGACATTCATTGTCATAGCCCGCTTCTTGATTATGGTGTTCTACCATTTACGGCGTCTAGGGGCTGGTAACTTCAAAGTGTTCTCGTAACATTGTGATAGTTTTGTGAGCAGCAAGCTTTGCCCCTGGTATCTGCTTATAGCACAACATTGCGCAATAGGAGTCAGTCATTTTGAACTGAGGATCCCCATTTCCCGGGACCCGTCGACTACGCTGATGATAGTGACCACCGGAATCTTTTAGTCGGTAGAAGTCTTGCATAACTTTTGTTACCCCCTTATTGAAAGGTGTTCATGATTATTTCCCTACAAAAAAAGGGGAAAACCGTAAGTAGATAATAATTTACAAAACACTCTGCACCGCGAGTAAATGAGGTTTACTTTATAATAAAGAACAAATGAAATAGACCACGTTTAGAAGGTAAAACACTCCACTAGTCCCGAGTGGGTTATGTGAGATTTTCTTACATAGTTACAGTCTACATACATCTCGCTATGGGGCACACAGGTTATCTCATTTTTTTTGAGGGTTTTTAGGGCGCACTGTCCCAATCCTTGTTGGCGGATTTCACGTCTTTGAAATATTTCTTAGACATGCAGGATTTCTCAAGATATTTTCCTTCACTGTCGAGCACGTGCATCAGCATTTAAAATCGCAATTAGAAATTTCATTAGTTCCGACAGGAATCGAACCAGAGTTGCTCGCGTACTGTGAATTTAACTCAATTTTCAGTAATCTTACATAACTCTTACATAACCATCTAGCGTTCAATCTAATAGCAACCGTTTTCCTTCTAACATATTTAAGGAAGCTCGAGACAGAATATTTCTGATCAATTAGTTAAAGTGAGAAAATCCTTACCATTCTGAATAACTTGATCCTCCGTGGCCTCGTACTCAATAGTGGAAGGTTTGTCTGACGGCTCGCAAGGCGGCGGTTCACCACCTTCGGGCGCTTCAGGCGTTTGATTCATGAGGAACACTGATTTTAATATGTTGCGGAGATCCGCCGCGAAATTCGTCTGCAATTGATCCGCAACGCCCGCAATACATACAAATAGACGGTGGATCAGATCTTCGCTTGATCTGAAAGAGATTTAAAAATATTGACATGATTAAGTGCATAATAATCTGCAACTGAGTCTTCATAGACATCCTTCACACAAACATACTTAAAACTTTATTTTTTCTTATTTTAAAGACTTTTTTAGATTTCATACCAATCTATATACACGTGGTAGAGCCACGCTGCAGCTATATTTTGGTTGTAGCACGAATGGGTTGGCTGGACTGGGGTAGTACCACGCTTTTTATTTTTTATTTATAATAGTAGCTTAATGCTGTTTCGTATGGTGAGTGTAGAGAACCGGTGCCAATTTTTACTGGAAACGAGGCATTCCATCTTAGTCTTCAGGGGAGACAATGCATTCACATTTTGATTCGTAATCGAGAATAAATGTAGCTAATGTGGACTATACAATGTGTTACAAAATACCCCGTAAAAATATAATTAATTATCCAAGCCAAAAATTTTGTCAACCCTAGTAAGCTGTCATGTCAGGGAACCAGATTATTTAACAGAAAGGCCTACTAATAATTGTCTACTTTAATAGTTTTTCTATTTTTCATTCATAAATGTTGTCTCAATTCAAGTACTGGCTATTAAAAATGTCAAGTTGGAAAAAAAATGAGTAGTCAATTTCAAATCTTCTAATCGATATCCTACAACTGTTTCGTTTTTTTTCCACATTTTGCAAAATAACGATGCCTTCTAACTCGGAATATTACGATATGATGTTACGCGTAGGCCATGAAAATAGCAATTTAAATCGTGTTTGCGAACTTTATCAATGTATGCAACGATTTATCGATGGTAGACCCCCCACTGTACCGGAGCCCCCATTGGAGTTCCGGCACGTTTTGCTCGCAACGTACGAGAACATCTTATCGTTCGCTTTCCGCGAGGATGGATCGGCCGCGGGGGACCGGTGCTATGGCCTGCTCGTTCTCCGCACCTTGGAATTTGTGGGGTTATGTGAAGGACAGAGTGTATTTTTCCGATTGCTTAACGGTTGCCGAGATGGAACAGCATGTTAGATCGGTTTTCGCATCAATAACACAGGCGATGGTGCGAAATGCCACACAAGCCATATCCCGACGAGCAAGATTGTGTATTGAGCAAGGCGGAGCACACTTTGAGGAGTTTCTGTAAATTTGACGTTTATTATGAAAAAGTAAGTGTTCGATTAAGTTGTTTCGTTAGGTTGGGTCTTTTAATTTTTTTGTCGTTCAGCGAATTAGGTATAAATGTAGGTACATTCTGCGTAGTTCTCTTTAATTTTACTGAAATAGGGTTTGCACATCAGTGAAAATAATTTTTTTTTTTGGAGTATGTTATACAGCGTTACTACGGTTCTTAAATATTGTAAATGGACTTGTTATAAGGCCCCATTTAACCTCCTTTCGGTTTTACGGGTAGTTTTGTAACAACCGGTATACTATTAAACAAATCTATTATTCATCATAAACCCGTGGAAAGTCTGTAGCTGAACATGGGTTTCTTCCATATAATATTTACTACAACATCCTCGCTCGGCAACCGGATTCACGACCGCACTACCAAAAGTTAAGAAACTTTGAATGCTTTGAGCAGCCAATAAGTGAGACCTGGTGACTAGTACATAAGATTCATAAGTCTCGCTGGGTTTCTTGCTGGTTCTATTCCGAACAGATTTTTTTGCCAAATCAATAAGTAGTAAAATAATAAATTACTTTCTATAAGTATTACACCAGAGACACAGTTCATTGTTATGTAACTTTGTTGTTAGAAAATAATATAAAATAATACTATCGTCATGAGATGAAAAAGGTAAAGGATAAAGGATACATATTTCCTATATAAAAAAGCACATCTCATACTTTCAAATTTTCAGTATTTTAGAATAAACTAGAAAAATCCCAGTAGATGCTATTTCAATGGGTCTGATTTCTAATGTTAAACAATTTTAACAAACAAAAGCTAAACTTACTTAAATTTCCCTCGAGCCTGTTGTCTCGCCGCCAACTCTTGCGCCTGTAGCGCGAGTGCTATCTGTTCGTCGTCCGCACATTCCGAAATATCACATGATGTACCGCTAGAAATAAATAAGCTTTTATTCCAAATAATTTACACACAGATTATTAAAAAAAAATTTCACAGTACGCGAGCAAACCGGGTTCGATCCCCGCGGGCACCCATGAAATTGGTAATTGCAATTTTAAGTGCTGATTTACTACGTGGTAGGTGCGGCGAAGGAAAACATCGTGAGGAAACCTGCATATCTGAGGAATAAGAAAAAAATATTTCGAAGACATGTGAAGTTCGCCAACACGTATTGGGGCAGTGCGGCGGACACTTGTTTGCCTTAATACCCTCTCAGAAATGAGGGCCCAGCAGCGGGACGTATTTAGGCTGTAACTTTTATTAAAATTAGAAGGTTCATCATCTGGAGGAAAACTACAAGTCTAAGAAATCATAAGTCAGCCATTATAACAAACCCTTCATTACATTGTATTTTTCTAAAATTTATGGTTTATGGTAGATGTTATTAAGTATGTTGCAGCTAATAATAAAAACGTAATATATAAACATAAATATTGTTAGTAGCATTTACTAACATAAGTTGATACGAAACAACGATATTTAATGATACGCTACTTTTAGTGAAATTATTTTTTCTTCTTATATTTATTAAGACAATAGATTGTATATAGATGTTCAATTATTCATTGAAAAAAAAATGGATTGATTTTAAAAGAAAATCATACTGAGCGAACTACTTTTTGACCCGTGTAGTGGCGGTGTAAGAATATTCCCCTATCGTGCCGTGGGTATCGTAAGAGGCAATAGATGGAAACAAACTAGGAGATGGGCAGCAGTGCCTTCGTAACAGGAAACAGTCCAATTCTGAGCCAATAAAAATAACAAATTAATAATAACTAAAATATTTTACCTTGCATCCACAAAATGGTCCAAGTTCAACCTCAACGGATTACTCTGACTCTGGGTATTCCGATTGTCTATTATCACGATACCGGGTGACCACATTTTACTCTTTTTCTTCTTATTTTTAGAACTGCACTTTCTCGTCTTCCTCAGTCTGGGACAGTTCTGTGACGTGTTCGCTACTTCTGCACTCGAACTTATATGATTGTCTTCTTGTGCGGTTTTTATATCTGCGTTTTTTCTTAACTCCATTAGCATTTTGTCTATCGTTCTATAATCGTCTTCTTGTGTATTCTCCCAGTTAATCTTTTTGGAATTATTTACATTTGTCGCTTCATTAAGACCTTCTTCCTCTGAGCTTATTCTATCTATATCTACATTGTCCATAATATGAGAAGAGGATCCCGCTTCATTCTTCTGGGTTTCTGATTCAACATATTTAATATTTACAGTAACGTCATCATCTGCATTCGAAAAGGAACGCTCTAGAGTGTTATTCTTATCAGTTCCATCGCAGTCTGGATTTTTCAATACCCTGTTCTGTTGCATGAAATGGTTCTCTTTGGCCTGTTCTGTGTCTGGCGATCTATCAAGACTTGTATTTTCGGTGCTGACACCAGAATCTGCTGGCGACTCGTGATCGCTTTCATAACCCAACATGAACTTTACTCTCTCCTCGTCATCTTTCTCCATTGTCATCTTAGCCGAATGAAAGCTCGCGTTATCGCCATCGGCCACTTCATTGTTATCGACAAAGTTCTGCCTATATTCATCGCTGGTGAGCAATAGAGAACTTAGATTAGCGTTCGCGATGCATATGTTAGTATTTACAATTTCAGCATCAATGTCATCGGGAATCATTAGCGGAAGATCCGTATTAAGTATTGCACCGTTGATATCATGTTCCTCTTCCTGGTTGAAAACTGCGGAGTTGTTGTGTGATAGGGACGCTAATACGACAGGCTCTTGACTTATTGCGTTGGGTATGAGATACCCGTGACTAGTAGAAGGCATGCAACTTAGCTGCTCATTCCTGGGTCCGGAAAACCCGAACGCCTCGGGATTCTCCGTTGATATTAAAGTCGGCACGTCGTTCGTTGAGAACGAATGCATCTGATTGTGATCCAGTATATCGACATCACTGGCTACTATCGATGATAGTCTATCAGCTATTTCTGTAACTTGTTCGTTTAGCGATGTGACTAAATCGTGGTCTGGCATTTGTCGATTTGATTCAGCAGAGGTCGAGGCGGATACAGCGTTTATGACTAGTGGATCGAACATCATTAAACCGTTCGTGGATAGATTTCTTAATGATGCTAGATCGCCGCTTTCAGTTCTGCTCCTCTTTCTAGATTTTTCTAAAATATCTTTGCTGTCATTGGTTTGGAATGTATCAGTGCTAGTAGTGTCGGTTGAGTAATGGCAGGAAAATTCGTTAGGCCTTGAATCGATAGTTTCATCATCCGTTTGTGTTGTTTCACTATCTTCTGTGAGGCGTCTAAGTCCGTCTATAATGGGCGTCATAACTTCAATATTGTCTGGTAAGTAGTCACCGTCTGTAATGGTTGGTTCACTGGAACTGAGAAACAAATATAATCAATGAAAAACTTTACGCATCTATTTTAAGACACTTAATTAAATAATTATATTAATTCCTGTCATATACGTAGATGGAACACCAACCTTTGTGTGGTATAGAGATCACGACAGTGAGCATGGTCGGCATAGAACTTCGATACGAACTCTCCGATGTCAGGGTAATGGCAAGCTGAGTCAGAAGTTGTTTCCACAGCTGAAAAAAAACAATATTCTAAAATTGTCCAATAAATTTAGTAAAATCTTAACCACTCGTTAGCCAAATGTACATGTCATAAATACATTGTTTAAATCAAATGAAATAATGTACGGACTCAACACAGCCTTTTTTTTTACTTAACATTAAAGACATGAAACTTTTAAATTATTCTATTAACTAGCTGTACACCGCGACTTCGCTCGCGGTTACTTTGGTTTTAACTTTTTTACGCGGTACCCTAATTCTTCTTCTAAAATAAAAGTAGCCTAAGTTACTCCTTATAACATTAGCTATCTGCCAGTGAAAGTCCCGTCAAAATCGGTCCAGCCGTTTCGGAGATTTGCCGGAACAAACAGACAGACAGACATACAGACGGATAGACAGACAGTCAGACAAAAATTAAAAAATTGTGTTAGTAAAAAACTGTTATTTTGACATTACAAACAGACACTTCAGTTTTGTTTATTTGTATAGATTAGAAAGGTATTAATTTATATGTTTTAACCGCGGTGGTAGCTCAAGGGTTAAAATGTTGCAGTGGCTGTTGTTTCTGAACATTTTTGCTTACTTACTTTGAGGCAAGTCCAAGCCTGCCAAGTTTGAAATATCCTCATTAGTGCAAAGCAGTCTCTCCAAGGCCATCAACTCCCGTCTGTCCAACGTCCACAGGAGAGAACGTATTTTATGTAGAAGCGTTCGAAACGGACGGAACATGTCTGACATTTCCTCTGAAAAATAATAATTATACATTAGTTCATGCTATATTAAAGTAAAAATATATTTTCTGCCCCCATCTTGTTTTATTGCTGGGCACATTATCATTTCTGAGAGCATTACGGAGCAGAAAGAGTCCGTGAAGCTGCTTTAATACGAATTGCCGGACTTCGCATGTCCTTAGAACATATTTAATTCTTTAGATTAGGATTTGCCACGACGTTTTCCTTCACCACAGAGCATGTGTGATTTCAGCATTTAAAATTAATTTTTAGCTCGCCATTAACTAATTTGAAACGTTGTCAAGGCTCGCGGATATTTTTTCGTGTAATGTAATTTATGTCCGCAGTCTACTGGTATAATAAACTGGAATATAACAAGAATATCTTTTATACTTTATTCTTTTTCATTATGTATTTTTAATGGGTCAAAAGTATCCGACTTTGTAAAATTTTCAAACCTTTTTAAAATTTATTCTCCGAAAATATCGTAGCAAGTCATGGGACCTTTTTTATTTGTCAAAGAATGTAAAAAAAATTGTCCCATTTGAAAATATTAATTATTTGCAATTAAAAAAAAATCGGTTTAAACAATATGGCACCCAGTTGCCCCATGGTAATATGCATTTATATCATCAGTAGGACAATTTGAAGAGAATCACATAAAAAAATGAGGTGGAATAGTTTTTGCCGATTCCTCCTGTACTATAATTCTACAGAGTGCTTTTATTGTACACAAAATAATCCTTCAAAATGATGCAGTAAATTTGCTACAGGAATTTTATTTTGTTTTATTTCATTTAAGTAATGTTTACACATACTGTCAATAGTCACTGTGGATACTGTAGATCTTAATCTTTCATTTAAAATAGGTTAAATTTAACCGTTATGTTTGAGCTTTCAAGTCAACTGTCCCTACAAATTAAAGACAGCGTCATTAAAATTGCGGCTCTTATGGGTCTTCTTCTTATGCGTTTTTGTTCTGAGTTTAAAATAATATTATATTTATTTTGTTTCAAAATTTAACTATTTGCCACGCCTAAAATTAACTGTTATAAAATATCATATTGAACTAGTAATGACAGAATTTTCATTTATTGTATCATAAGCCACACAGCACAGCCTGTATTATGTTCTAAAAACTTGGTAGACAAAATTAAAATAAACAATACCTGGTGGTTTGTCAATGCTTAACGGACCACTTGAGTAAATGAGCAGACCACTGACTATAGCCAACCGGGGAACGGCAAACATAAGAGCGGGGTCGTAAGAGTCAACCTGTAAAAAATATCAAATAAATTCAGTATTGTGCTATATCTATTACAGTTATTATGTACTAGAGGCCCCTGCTGACATAAAATTCCATCTTAAGGTGCAAGATCGTCACGATTTGTTGTACCAGACACATTTTCTTTCTTTTTTTTTATAAAGTTAAATTGATAAGTGAACTTATCCACCTGAAGATAATAATGTCATCCAGACCAAATTCCGTTCACGGCGGCCAGTCTTCAACGAAGACTAGCCATCTGCGCAGGACAGGATTATAGTGCCCGAGTAGATGCGCAAGCACAGGATGCACTCTGTATTCCCTCACTCTCACAAATGAGACGGTAAATCGACGCGACCGGAGAGAGATCAAGCGCAGTACTAACGGCTTAACTTGCTTTCCGAGGCATGGTATGAATGAATGTTTTGCTGCAGCTATATTAGTGGTATAGTTGTAGCACGAATGGGTCGGCTCGACCGGGGAAGGACCACGCTCTCACAGAATACCAGCGTAAAATAGCAGCTTAACGCTGCTGTGTTTCGTATGGTGAGTGTAGAGAACCGGAGACCCTTTTTACTGGAAATGAGACAATCCATCCTAGTCCTCACGGGTGACAACGCATCTGCATTTTGATTTGTAATCGAGGATAGATGTAGATGTCTATGGGCCACAGCAACCACTTACCATCAGGTGGACTGTGTGCTCGTTTGTCACCCTATCCTATAAAAAAAAAGAGTACACCTGTGCATGCGCACACACTTGGGCACTATAATCCTGTCCTGGGCTGATGGCTAGTCGCCGTTGAGGCTGATCGCCGTGATCGGAAGACATTCTTCTCATTTTCTGTATCATCATCACGATTTGCTGTACCTCGATTTTATTCGAAGAAATAAGATATGTCTCTCTTCTTTCTTCGACTCGACAGCCTTTCATTATCTACTACTGGATAAATGTCTAAAAATGTGCGAACTAGCATGGAACTGTTCACATTTGCTCTTACTCACCAAAATGGGTTAGTAGGCATAGGATCGACACTCCCCTTCATATCAAGTCCTTCGCAGCTTCCTATCAAGTCTGTGGAACTTGGATTCAGTCTTTTGGTATTCGGTATTCCAGTAAAATATTACTTATTAAAAATATTACTAGGAAATTTTTAAGCCAATCTGTTTTGTACGTATCCATGGGCCAGCCACTTACAACGAAATAGACTGTTAGCTATATTATTATCCTAAGTTGCTAAAATATTTTAAAAAAATGGCGACAACAGTACATTGGATGGAAACCATAAGTTTCTATAACATTACCTGTTCCTGAGTAAGCAATCCTTGCTTGAGAGCTCGATGAAGACTCTCCGAAAAGAGGACGCAGATCAGCTGCTGAGCTTCGAACTCGTGTGGGGTTTTCACGTTGACCATAGCACTCACGTAGCACAGTTCGAACTCGGCGAACAACCTGGAAAATATTATTAAGTATTGAGTGTTGTGTAGGCGTAACAGAATACCCTATATAATCCAGTGGGTATCGAAAGAAAGAGGCAACAGTGGGAAATGAAACCGAAGATGGGCAACAGCATCTTCTTATTAACAACTGAACTTAATATGAAACTGCGATCCAAAAACTGTGGCAGTTAAAGGAAACTGCGGCTTATTTTTAGCAGTAAACTTTTGATAAGGAATGCATAAGTGTTCTGGTTTTCGGTTTAGTGGTGGCAGAACACACAAGTGATTGGATGGAGGAAGGTACTCTCCAAGCGAATCACACCATATATACACTATTTTATATAAAGAGATACACTGTTTTATTCTTTAAGTCTTACTTATAATCTGTACTTCGATCGACAATCCAAGCGACTCAATTACAATTACAATAGTTTTATAAAACATTCATAGAACACAATAAGAGGATAATATGAATGGAACTCAATATGTATGCAAATCAACAGCAACACGGCTAATCACGATTGTAACACAGAGCAGTCTTACCACAGCATAACCTTTGTTTACACTTTGACAATTACCACGACGAGGGAAAACACGACATCGAGTGACGGATTGAGCAAGCGAATTATCGACTGATTAAAGTTAATAAATGCACGGCACTAAGCCCTCTCAGAAATTAGAGGCCTGTGCCCAGCAGTGGGACGTATATAAGCTGTGACTTTAACTTTTAACTTTATATTGTTTAATTAGCTGGGGTTTCAAGTTCTGCCATCACTTCTTTATACCCTTTTTTAGTTATGTGTAGAAAATAAGGGTGACCAACGGCACACATTCCACCTGATGGTAACCGGATGTTATGGTCCATAGTCCATACAGTCTACCTGATGGTAAGTGGCTACTGCAGTACACGGACACCTGCAACTTCAGACAAAGAAGGCTACAAATGCGTCGTCACCACTGAGGACTAGGATGGAATGCCACAGCGTGTAAATATACTGGCTCACAATATTTATCGGACCGGAACACATCAGTGCAAACACTGTTACTTGGTAGCAGAAAAAGGTAAGAGGGTGGTACCTACCGAGAACATCTAGGCAGAATACGAGACCTACCACCTAGTTAAACTTACATGGACACATACACTGGTGATGGTAGCAGCATTCCCAGTGGTATTCACCATGCGCTTACAAATTTGCGTGGTGAGTTGCTGCATCTTATCTTAAAATCTAGAATCTATAAGTGAATTTGCATTTATGTAAAGAAGATTAAATATTGGTTTTAAATTAACAATACATACCTATCGAAAATACGTAAGCTCTCGTGCAACATGTCGTCATGCTGGGACAGTGCGAGTCCCCTCGGCCTCAGACACTGTTCCCTTAGCAGAGAACGCACAGTCTCCAAACTGCGAGTGAGGGCCTTCGCGAGGGGACGCATCGCCGCCGACTCCTCCTCGCGATTCATTATAGAGGAACCAGCGGCTAAACACTGCAAATTGACAATAAATATAACTGAATAGGCTTTTTTAATTTCGGTATAGTATTGTCCACAGAAAAAATAGGTGGTATGAATGAACATGGTCTAGGGCAAACTATTTTGTAGTCTATAATATACATAGTAAAGACACGCTGCAACTGTATTTATGGATGAACCAAAAATGAGCCGGCTCGACGTTCACACAGCAATAAAATACTAGTATCTAATAGCAGCGTAATGCCGCTATTTCCTATGGTTACTGGAGAAAACAGCAGAACCTTTCACTGGTAATGAAAAATTAGTTAGTACCAAAGTTAGTACTGGTTTAAATAGCATCCACAGATAAAAAACCAAAAATTACACTCTTTCATTAAAATCTTTCAAGAAAATCGAATAAAACCTACATGAAACAGGTTTTATTCGATTTTCATGATTTCGAGTTTCATCAACGTTCTGTTTTTCTAAATATTAATGTTATTATCACGCTTGATTATTATTTATCAATACAAATATATATCGTACATTGATATTTGTTAAGGTTAAAATCAATTCACCAAGCACAACTTATACTTAAGAAGCGCGTTTTATAATCAAAGTTGTTTTAATTTTAACAACTCTAGCGTGAAAAGGAGTGACTTACGTCGGTACCGTGAGCGCGTAATTCGAGACGATTAAAAATGTTTACGTTGCGTCCATAGAAAATCAATTCTCTAGTTAATTAATTGTTCTAAGTATTGTAGTATTGCAGTTAGTGTGTTTAGTTAAAAAGTAAGCTACCTTTATAAAAATGAGATAAAAAAAACAGGGTGAAAATTGGGTGTTCTAAAGAAAAAGTTAGTGGAAAATCGAAATTTATTTTATCAGTAGTAACGCTTTGTAATCATCCTTATTTCGATTAAAGTGAACGTACTTATTAATATTGGAAACATTACGTAGGTGCGTTATTGCTTAATCAGCACATATTATAGAACGACGAAAACGTCAGTAAATATGCATAAAATAAAAAAGTTAGTATTTAATGTTTTTTTTATTTGTACAAGTAGGTTCGATATCTTTCAAATTCATCAAGACAATCATGTTAATATCCATTTTTAATCATTTAAAAAAAAAAAGAAATTAAAACAACACTAACCTCTCTATTAAAGTTGTACCGAAATTGATGTTAGACTGTTTAGTACCATAGTAAAACTATCTCGGAAGTTTAACTTTAGTATCACAAATAACTAAAGATAATCTTCGTTTTTTTTTTTTTCTTTTATAGGAGAGGGGGCAAACGAGCATGCGGCTCACCTGATGGTAAGTGACTACCGCCGCCCATGAACAACTGCAACACCAGGGGAATCGCAGATGCGTTGCCGGCCTTTTAAAAAGGAGTACGCTCTTTTCTTGAAGGTCCCTAAGTCGTATCGGTCCGGAAAAATCGCTGATGGTAATCGATTCCACAAGGAGGTCGTGCGAGGAAGAAAACATCTTCTAAATCGCACAGTGGTGGACCGCCAATCATCCAGATGGTGTGGATGGTATCGGCAGTTCTGCCGCGATGTGCGTTCGTGAAATTTGGCGGCTGGGATTAATCCGAACAATTCCTCAGAGCACTCCCCATGGTAGATGCGAAAGAAAATGCAAAGGGATGCAACATCTCTTCGCAGTGCCAATGAATCGAGCCGATCGGAAAGGGCTCGGTCGTCGACAATTCGAGCCGCTCTGCGTTGGATGCGGTCAAGTGGAAGGAGCTGGCACTGGGGAGCCCCTGCCCAGAGATGGGAACAGTATTCCATGTGAGGCCGAACTTGCGCCTTGTAAAGTAGCAGGCGGTGTGCCGGCATGAAATACTGTCCCGCTCTGCTGAGCACGCCAAGCTTTTTAGAGGCCAATTTGGCCTTCCCTTCCAAGTGACCACGAAACTGCACGTCACTCGATATGTCGACTCCGAGGATACCGATACTGGCTGAGGCAAGAAGGGGAGTGCCTTGAAACTGAGGAGATACGACAAAGGGGTTCTTTTTAGCGGTAAACGCGCAAACTTGTGTCTTCTGAGGATTAAATTGGACTAGATTTAGTCGCCCCCAATCCGAGACTTTGTTCAGCAAAGACTCGACTTCAGACACAAGTTTGTTCCGGTACTCAGCGACGTTTTCCCGAGAAATATTGGCACGGCCGGTGTATAGAGCATCACCAGTGCTGTCATCCGCATAGCAATGAATGTTACCAGTTAGCAACATATCATTGATATGCAGAAGAAACAGCGTTGGTGATAGCACACAGCCTTGTGGAACACCAGCGTTAATAGGCTTGAAGTCAGAGCATGCACCGTCTACAACGACCTTGATGCTCCGATCTGCAAGGAAGCTGGTGATCCAATTGCACAATTTCTCGGGAAGCCCATAGGAAGGGAGCTTCGAAAGAAGCGCTTTGTGCCAAGCCCGATCGAAGGCCTTCGCAATGTCCAGACTAACGACCAACGCCTCCCCCTTGGACTCTACTGCCTCCGCCCATCTATGGGTCAGGTAGACCAGAAGATCACCAGCTGATCGACCCCGACGAAAACCGTATTGGCGGTCACTAATCAGCTGGTGATCCTCAAGGTACCGGATGAGCTGGCAGTTAATAATGGATTCCATTATTTTGGAGAACAAGGAGGTGATCGCGATAGGCCTATAGTTGGATGGGTCTGAGCGGTCGCCTTTTTTAGGGATCGGGTGGACAAAAGCTGTCTTCCATGAATTCGGGACTACGCCTTGGGAGTAGGAGTACCGGAAAAGACGCGTTAGGACCGGTGCCAACTCCGGAGCACACGTCCTCAGCACAATTGAGGGGAATCCGTCAGGCCCACTCGACTTCTGGATGTCCAGGGAGAGGAGTGCTTTGCGAACAGAGCGCTGTGAGAACAGCACATCCGGCATGGAGCACTCACACCGCGGGATGGTCGGCGGTGTTTTCCCCCCGTCATCAAGAGTCGAGTTGGACGCAAAAAGGGAGCCTAAAAGGTCGGCTTTGTCTTTTGCGTCATGGGCCAGTGAGTCATCCTCCCTGTGCAGAGATGGTAATGATGGCTTACAGAAATTCCCTTGGACAGCCTTGGCGAGAGACCAGAATGCACGGGTTCCCGAAGGAAGGCGAACTAGTTTCTCGCCAATTCTGCCTATGTGCTCTGACTTTGCCTTGGCAATAACTCTTTTGAAGGTTTTGTAACATTTCATTTAATCCATGCTTTAAACCTACTTAAACCTACTACATAGTACGATATTTATTATTTAGTCCGTGTTTTATAAAGGCCGCAAATGTTCAAATGGTCAACACCAAAGTTGTCATTGTGTAATGGAATACTCTCTGCATAGTCCCGTGTTTAAACGTAGTGATATAATAATAATCCACGCATAACATCGATCACTAATAAAAAACTAGATACACAATCAGTGACAAAAAATGTCCTTACCGAATGAGCGCCCACTCGAACATTTGGGTGCGCGTTTAATTTGTACGTAGCTTTGTGAATACAACTTTAGGCGATGCATTTAAGGTTGAATTTACATTAATGTATTTTATTTCAACTAGATTACGTCAAAACAATTGGCGACAGTTTTAGAGATCTTTTGCATGGGATTGTGTATCTAGCTTTTTATTAGTGATCGATGATGCATAATGATTTATATACTCTTTAACCGTGTCCATGACTATAACATTCAAAAATCTATAGCGACTTTCAAAATCGTCGGCACTGTAATAATCGAAAGAATTTCGAAAGTCACGTATCACCTTAATCAAATTATATTTACCTCAGCACCAAACCACAGCTGACCAGCCAGATTGTCCTGCAGCACGTCCTCGGGGAACTTGACCCGAAAACCACGCGCAACCCTCTCGTCGCCCAGCACCTGATCCATTATCTGACTCGTAATGTTCAGCACTCGATCCTGATATAACAAAAAGAAGAAAATATTCATATTAGAATATCTGCATATTTTAAAATAATTCCGGTAACAATGCGTAACAACGGCGCAATCATAAACGTTAGCTCAAGGTACGTTTACGTGGTAGAGCCATGCTGCATCTATATTATTGGTATACGAATGGGTCGGCTCGACCGGGTAAGGGCCACGCTCTCACAGAATACCAGCGTAAAAAAGCGGCTTCACGCTGCTGTGTTTCGTATGATGACTGCAGAGAACCGGAGACCCGTTTTACTGGAAACGAGGCATTCTATCTTAGTCCTCACGGGTGACAACGTATTTGAATTTTGATTCGTGATCGTGGATAGATGTAGATGTCTACGGGCCACAGCAACCACTTACTATCAGGTGGACTGTGTGCTCGTTTGTCATCCTTACCTATAAAAAAGTTATTCAATCCTATACGAATATACTCAATACGAAACTATAAAAATCCATTAGAAAATAAACAGGCAAGGCAACAGTAAGGAAACCACGGTATAGCTGGTAGGTGAATGTAAACAACGCAATTATCACGCCTAGGGCAAAGTACTATGAGCAATCGTTGGAATATAGAATAAATCAATGTTTACTCAACGTGGATGGATTTAAAGGCTGGCGCACTCGGGATAATTTTGTGTTAATTTATAAGCGTACGAATGGTATACCAAGAGTAACACTGGAATGCGATGTAACATTATTACTGTTGGCGGTTACATTTTTCTTTTTTTTTTTTTTGAAAAGACGTTAGCCCCACACTAGGATTTTCTCCTGTATCGCGGAGGCAGTTTACAAACACAAATTGCACAAGGACAAACGTCCAGACCCGGAACAATTATTTGTAGGCCGTACAAATACTTGTTCCGTGCGGGATTCGAACCCGCGGCCCCAAGCGTTGCAAACTCATTGCTAAGCCACTACGCCACGGAGCGGTCACATCGATAATTGATTGGTTCACTTCGACTTTTAATTCATTTCTGTGATTTGATTGCAACACAGTACAATTATATCAACAAATAAATTACAACAACAGTAACATCCCATCGAATGATCTATGACAATTTATTATATAAACTAGCATATGGGGGCGACTACGCTTATGACATATTTGTTGGGAGATACTTGTAAAAGCGAAAGGCCACCACAGCATTTACAGGTAAAATGATAAATAGAAAGTTGGAAACTATATCCCAGCTACAAACAAAAGTTAAAAGCCCATTAAAAATAAATAAAACAACGTTGCGATTTTGATTTTCTATTATGAATGACAATTATTATATTAATTATATAATTTATAATGAAAATAATAGCAGTTTTCGTATGGCCGTAGTCACGCAAAATAAACCTAAGTAATCTATATATTTTGTATGTATATTTCTATATATTTCTATGTACTTACTAAGACCTTTAATAGAATATCAGACACGATATTTTAATTTTTATTTAATTACTAGCGCAACCTACCAGGTCCAGTTATGAATCTAAACCATCCAGCGACCCATTCAAACAAACACACATGAAATATTTCATCAAAATCGGTCCAGCCATTTTCGAGTATTTGCGAGACTATCGGACAGCAATTATTGATTTTTATAAATAGATTTTTTTTTGAAAACCGCCGTGTTGGATTTTATGTGACATCATAACATGCTATATTATACTACATAATATTTTATCGCCTATAACGCGCAAAAGAACACGAAACTTCATGTCAAAATACGGTGAGAAGTTTAGGAGATCAGAGAGAACAGATGGACATACATTACACTCAGCTTACTAAAACTAAAACATAACCATAAAGGCCCCATCCCCCCCATCAACATGGTAGCGGAATTACACGATAGACTACCCCAGGAGGGTACCAGTACCCTGGAGAATCCCTCGCTGAGCATCCACGACCATGTTATTCCAATCCTGAGCGTGGGTGCTCAGGCTGCCCCGCGTAAAAATTCCCTTCAAAAACATAACTGCTCGGGGCAACCTGAGCGACAATACCAAGGCGCCCCTGCCAAGCTATCCGTGAATTTCTGCAACATCAGGGGACTTCACTCTAACCTAAACGCCGTCCACTACCATCTCGAGACGGCGAAGCCGGCCTTGCTCTTTCTGACCGAGACGCAGGTTTCCTCTCCGGCTGATATTTCGTATCTCTCCTGCCCGGGGTACAAATTGGAGCACTCCTTTGTGCCTCGGGCTGGAGTTTGCGTGTATGTCAGAGAGAACATCTGATCTCGACGCCTCGGCAGTCTTGAAGGTTCGGACCTGTCCATCCTTTGGCTACGCGTAGACAGCGACGACCATCCGCGCGTCTACGGGTGCCTCTATAGGTCCCATAGCGGTAATGCCAAAACAGACCGACTCATCGACCACGTCCAAATGGCTACAGATTCCTTGCTACAACAGGTCCCATCCGCAGAGATCGTGATCCTTGGCGATTTTAACGCCCACCATGCCGAATGGCTCGGTTCACGTTTAACCGATCATGCGGGGAGATCTGTTTATGACTTTGCCTTGGCATATGGTCTGACACAAATGGTTACTTCGCCTACGCGGATTCCAGATGTGGAGGATCATACACTTTCCCTGTTCGACCTTCTGCTGACCTCTCATCCGGACGGATATCAGGTTTCCGTCGATGCCCCTCTCGGCTCTTCGGACCATTGTCTGATCCGGAGTACGGAGACACTCACGCTCCCTTCGCGGTTGCGTTCTGCAGGTTGCCGCCGTGTTTGGCATTACAGGTCGGCGGATTGGGACGGAATGCGGTCTTTCTTTGCATCCTACCCATGGGGGCGGGTTTGCTTCTCGCCGGATGATCCCAGCGCTGTTGCTGACTCTGTCACTGATGTGGTGCTACAGGGAATGGAACTATTTATTCCATCATCTGTGGTACCCATCGGAGGCAGATCTCAGCCTTGGTTTGGTCACTCCAGTAAGACTGCATTACGCAGTAAGCAGGAGTGTTATCAAGCCTGGGCTGCGGCTTCAGCGACTCGGGATGTAAACACCAGCACACTTAAAAAGAAGTATAACTACGCCTCCAGGTCCTTCAAAAGAGTTATTGCCAAGGCAAAGTCAGAGCACATAGGCAGAATTGGCGAGAAACTAGTCCGCCTTCCTTATTAGCAAGTACACTTGTACTTGCTAATCAGAGGCAGCAATTATAATAATATTTATTGAAGGAAAATCGGGGGATTCTGTATTAGATGATCATAATACCTTGAAATATTAAACCTGCATTGTAATTTCTTACCCCCCACGAGATGGAGTGACGACCTGGTAAGACATGCAGGAAGTCGATGGATGCAGGTGGCTCAGGACCGTGCTTTGTGGCATTCCTTGGGGGAGGCCTATGTTCAGCAGTAGACTTATGAAAGGCTGTAATGATGATGATGATTGTAATTTCTAACAAAGAAAGGTAAACAAACATTAACATTAAAATTCAACAAGACCCAAATAGCCGTTTTTGAAACAATTTTAGTCAAATCTATACAGTTTATGGCAGCGGAAAAAATGTTAATCTTGAACATATGTATATCTGAGAAAACTTTTGATTACAAAACACGTTTTTGAAAAACTTTCTCGATACAAATCAAAATAAAAAACTAACGTATCTAGTAAAAATATCTGTATAACTTATAAAACTGATAACAATAGTGTATCATATTCGAATACAGGAGATTGTTGTTGATTCATTGATTACCCAACTTATTTTTATGTAATTAACTGTTTTATGTTTTGTAATAGGTCAAAGTGTCGTATCATCCCGCTTCTCTTTCTTTCCTATTCAATCCAACAGTATACAACTCATTAACTGTTATCAAAGTCTTTAAGTAAGGTTTTCGCCTTTTGTACTACATCAAATACTTCATAACGGCGATTCTGTAGTTCAGTGCAGTACAGCTAAGCATTTGGTTGATGCGCTGCGTGATCGCAAGTTCAAATTCTACACAGATCGAGTATTCGTAAGGCCTACAAATAATACTAGTGAAGAGATAACATTATTTTTTAAAATAACATCTTATCGCATAACGTTACATCTTGTTCGGTCACGGACTTATCTACTCGTATGTTTGAAGAAATTCTTATAGCATAATAAATATGAAATATCGAGACGCCATGATTCGAATCCCCACTACAATAAGCAAACATTTGTTTTTGTAGTCTAGATACCCCGTATATTATGTTGTTAACGTCCTTGTATTATGCCACTGCATTGAAACCTACTTTCGATGTTATCGCATAGCTTTACATCGGACGCGGGTATATTAAGGACTAGTGTATGGCTCGTGTGGTTTTTTTGCGTAGTAGAGAGCCACGCGAGTGACTGACGAGTACTGGAGGTAACGAGGCGTTCCATCTTCGTCCTCAGGTCTGACAACGCATCTGCATTTGAGGATTGATGTAGTTTCTATAGGCCACATTCCACTTTAACATAAAGTGGGTTGGGTGTTTGTTTGCCTCCACACCATACCCAAATGTGAAATCTCTGTAGAAAAATATGCGTGAGCGAGCCATGCGATTGATCCTTATTTCTGAGCAACCCATTTTGCACTCATGCGGTCTACTATATCCAGGTCAGATGTCGTTTTAATAGAAACAAGGATGCTCATCAGCTCTGTAACCCTGAGCTGTTCTTAAGCTATGACGAATTGATGTTTACTGTAATATCTTCATTGTTATTGCGATCACGAGTCGGCCACGAGGTACTGGCCTACAATATCGCCCTAATTCTACAAACAATAAGGTCTACGTCTATTGTTCCAATCATCTACATAGGCTGCACTAAAAGTATCGGGAATGGAATATTTCCACTGTTCCTGTCATATTAAAATCTTTTTAAGTGAAAAGTCCTTGGTTTTTTAAAATCGAACACCATTTATTTATTTGAAAAAAGATTCTCGGTCTTGTCACAAGGTTTTGTCAAACTTGTTTAGTCGTTGAGAAAATGGAATTGACTCGAGAAAATTCAAGAGCGATGATTT